GCAGACTTTCGCATATATGCGTGTTTCCATGAAAATGTAAACCGAAAATGCAAGCAAATGAATTCAAACGGCTTTATAACTTAAAATTTCGTATTCAGATGGCGGAAAAAGGTTTTGGAAACGCGAAACGGTGGAGAGAAGAACTGAAAAAATTTAATTTAGTATGTGTTACTAGTAAAAATATTGTAAATATTTTTGTAATAAAACCTAAGCAGAGATACTTTCTATTAAAATATGAAAGGATTGTAAAGGTACATTATTTAGCTTAGTTTAGGAATTTTTAAAGAACAGAAAAACTCTCATGATTCGCAGACTTTCGCATATATGTATATGTGCCTTAAAACCACTTCTTTTTTTGTCGCGTACGTTATCACCTGATTTTGAACGGATATTTTCCACACCAAAGTTTCGAGGCTGCTTATTTTTTTTCTCAAACATAGTACCCTTTGGTTGCAACATAACCGTAATCTTTTTTTTTCAGTAACTTCTATTTTTTATAGATTTACGTCACTCTATAAGCGTACGAATGTCGCGTACGGCTGTATGGAAACACCCATATAATAATATATATATATTAATAAAGGCGCACTTGCTGCTTCTTGCGAAACTAAAGCATTTTCTTGATGCTGGTACTGCTGCTGTTGCGGCTTATTAAAGTTTCCAACAACTTTAGGCATTACAAGTATTTATGTGTTATCAGCTATCGATATTATCTACTTGGCTGCATATAAACACTGCATAATTTGAAATATGTACGAGTATTTATAAACATAAACACATGTGTATGCTAATATAACGGATGCTTGTTAAGGAATCGCTTAATTATTTATGTTCATCCAAATACATACACTAACAGTAACAGCAACACAAAAGCAACAATTGCAAGAAAACACCGCTACTATGTGCTAACAATAATAACCGCAACATTGATTGTATGCAAGCTTTAATGGAATTTTGATGAGTAAAAGTTTGAATGCATGCATGCGTGTGTGGTCTACTTGTAGGCGGCTTTAATGTGTTGCTTACTTCTAGGCTTACCAGCCAGGCATTTGCGTAGGCAGGAAAGTTTTTATGAGCTGCTGCCTATAATGCTTGTATGACCTACATACATATGTGTATGTGTGCTAAAACAAAAACATATTTTTGCATATGTGTGGCTGCTGAAAATACCCTGCAGGGAAAGCTACTAGTTGTGAACTAGAATTCTACCAGTTTGCGTTTCCGCCCAACTAATAAGTTCACGTTCTATCCTTTTTCAATGTTAGCAACTGGTATTTATTGACATTGCGATGTCCTACGAGATGTCAATTGTCAGGTTATGTATCAGCATCTACTAGCATAAATACTAGTATCATCATACCAGTTGATGAGATTGTCTGCCAATTGAGAAGCATAAGATTGCCATTTTGCTTGTGGCGCTCCAACAGTCGCAATGGCCGACAAAGCACAGCACTGGCGTGGTATTCTTAAGGACCGCGGTTCAATCCTTGGCACAGGGAAACATTTTTTTATTTAATTTTTTTATTTTTTTTTTTCTTTAGGGGTTTTATTGTAGTTTTTACATTTAATTTAAAAATATATTTTTATTTATTTCTTGTTTTATGGCGCAAGTATTTCTTCCATATGCATGTTTTTTCTGCAATAAAATTCGATTTTCAAATTTATTATTTATAATATTAAATTGAAGTAATTATATTGACTTAGATTGATTTAAATTTTAAATTTTAAAATCTTAACCACCTCCAAGCGGACTCTAATCTGCCATCCCAGCACCAGAACCGTTAGTTTTCACGCTATGCCAGAGCTGACATTTTTAAGAAAAGCAATTAATTGCGTTTGATGTCGCTGGATGCTAAAGTTATTCGAAATTGTCGAACTGGAGGAAGGTCATCGCTTTAGCTAGCACATGCTAGTTAATGAACTGTTATTTTTGCTGACTGGTTTGGCTTCTCACTGCAGGGATATGTATGTATGTATATTTAAGCACTTTCGTTTGCGCACATGAATGCTTTAATGGCATTAGGTTTAGCCAATATTTATGCGCATTAGGCAATTCGAATTTTCGCCAGCAGCCTAAGTAAACGGGTATTAATAATTACAAATGCATTGCTCATATATTTAGTAGGCGTATACATATACATATACGTATACGGTAATAATGTATAAATACAACCCCTTTGCGTTTAATACTTACTATCGTTTAACGATTATACTTGTATGTATTTATGCGCATACATACATATGCATACGAATTTTAATACTTATACCAATATGGGTTTAAACAAATGTGGATATAAATATTTATGAGTACGAAAGCGTATAAATACCGTGGTTATATATTTCCGCTTAACGGCCCAGTTAAATATAGTTAGTATATAGTTAATTAGAGTGGTCAAAAAAAAATTTTTTTCAAGATAGAGTTTGGGGCACCTTCCAAACATTTTCCTCTTGCCGAATGTGGTGCTGGTACCAAACGTTGCGTTTCTAAGTATAAATTTAGGGGATGCTCCAGAAGTATTGCGTACATATATTAATCAAACAATAGGTTAACTTACCTAAGAGCATTTCAAATTTAAATTTGTCTAAAAAAATATAACAAGCTTCAGTTGTCATGGCAATAGTACCTTTTTATAAAAATCTCTAATATTTTTGCCAGTTCCACAGCGATCCCAGTAGCGCATTTTAAAATTGAAAGTTGGTATAGATATTACAAATATTAAAAGGAAAAAAACTAAGGGGTGCCCCGTTTTCTAGGGACATACACATATTCAAGTCCTTAGAATCCATTTCCGACAAGTTAAAAACTTTATCTCAAAGCAAACAGGTTAGGCTTTCTTACTCGATGCGATGCAAGTACGACGCCTCGTCTGGGCATGAATCACGTAACTTTGAAACTATAGTCGTTCAAACGATACTAACTAAACGATGTGGTCAAAACACTGATTTTTCAAGCTGGTTGTGGGACTAAGAAACGGACTCTTCATAATCTTTTTTTTTTTTCATTTTGCCTGTCAGAGAATTTTTTAATCTATCATATCCTAACCTACGACCAAGATTGGTAATCGGTACAGTCATGAAATTTTTACACACCATAGTAAAAGGAGTAGCGGTCGTTTCGAAATAAGGGAAGGTGGTGCTCTTCGACTCGATAACTTGGCCACTCTACAGCACAAAGAAGCCTTAGTTTGCCAACGTGTTCTAACTTCGTTGGGAATTCGTAATCCAGCCCTTTCTCGAAGAAAATTTTTATAAGTTTATCCTAGACTAGGAATTAGGAATTTAACTGCGATATGATGTGCTTCAAAAATGAAGGGGTCAAGGCCTAAATATGTACGTAGAAGATGGTGGATATTCTCGCAATACCCTTGGCATTCTGCACACGGATCAAGGATGTTTCTATCTATATTAAGTTCTGACTTTTATTTTTCAGTCAAACGATAACAGTTAAACCAAACCACTTTTTTTACTCACAAATAATAGTCTGGGCCTAGTAACGTGCAAACTTACATATGTATCTAAAAAGAAATTTGGTTCTAATGGAATGGTATTAACTTCTAGCCTAATTTTCTGCAAAAAAATATAATATTCGTTCTTGCATTGGACAATTTCAACAAAAACCCGATTAATAGGTTTATAAACATGACACTATATTGCTGTTGAACTATAAATGACAAATTGTCTTCACATTTTAGTCAGCTAATTTAGAACGTAGGTCTGTTCAAATAACCTTTAATGCCGAAATTGCTCGTTCAACTCACACTTGAATCGCTGTAACATTTTATGCTTTTTCTCCGGTGAAAGTACCTTTAATACTTTTGTATGTACATATTGTTTCTTGCAGGGTTTTACTATCCTTTATTGCTTCGTTATAAAAGCGGAGAGCAGCTTACGAGCGCCCCCTAGCAACAGCAGCAGCAGCAGCAGTGGGACGCTAAAGAAACAACTCAGTACAAGTAAAACCAGTTTGGATGAAAACTATTGCACCGGAGCTATAAATAGTCCGCTTAGTTGTAAGTATCACTAAAAATTAGTCGAGCAACAAAGGTTTAAGTTACGACAATTTGGCTATAATTGTTTTTATTCGTACGCATGCAAACATAAATTTTATGCAAAATTAAATGTCCAACGTACTCATTAATAAGATTTGAAGCCGTCATATTTATTTTTATTTCATATTCCAATTCCTCTCCTTCCTCCGATCCAGTTTACTCAAGTCACGAAAACGAGAAGGAAAACGAAAGCGGCGCACCCGTAACAACGTTGCTCATTCCGCCACCACCGCCAACGCAACAGCTAGAAATTTCCAGTGGCGTGCAGCTGCCACTCACAATCATACCCACCGCGCAACAGCGTTGCCCATTGCTGCCCACCTCGGCGTCGGCAGGAGGCGGCAATGGCGTTAACACATTCCTAAACGCAGCAAGTCTGGATCGCAAACTTCCGCTGTCGCATGTCACTTGCCTGCAAGATACGACCGCCGCAGCAATGACCTCACCCGCAACGAGATGCTGCAACATCTTAGGTGGTGGTGGTGGTGTTGGCGTAGCCGGCAGTGCTGTCAATACGGCTACCACATTGACCTCGTCGGGTGTACTAGGCAGCGGTGGTGTGGTTGTAACTACTGGCGGCATGGGCTACTATGATGCCTATGGTGCGGGCATGGCACTTGGCGGCATGACAGGCAGTTTGAATAGACGACAGCTTCATGGCTCAGCAGTAGCGACGGAATTCGTCGGATTGGAGACATTGGATATATTGCAGGGTGTGGCGCCACCAGGTATGCTAGAATAATAAATGAGAGAAATTCAAATATACAAACATACATAAGTACATATGTATATCCATAAATTAGCATTTATATTAATTTCGTATCAAATGGTGCAAAACAAATTACTACTTATTCCTGAATATTTATGTAGGGTATTCCGTCCCACCGCACCTTTCACTGGACGTTGGAAATTGAAGACGAAAGCTCACCTTCATCTTTGCTGTAGAAAGCCCAACCACCATTTAACTTCTGTTTGAAATTGACCAATCACAGCCCTCTCCACCTACCTTGCAAATTTAATTTTAAAAAACTTTTTTTTCGAATTGGTTCAGCAAAATGAGAAACTCTCAACTGAATGACACAGCTCAAGTTGAAAAGGAACTGACGAATTCAAATGTAGCGTTTAGGCGACTACAAAAAAAAAACACAGTTTGTGGGACACACTATTTCCCAGAAACTATTGTAGTACGTATTTTTATCCATACTGGGTTCTAAATTTTATTGGTTTAGACCAATCGTTTTCTAATTAACCCAAAAAATTTGCCGTTTTCAAGTTTTTCAAAGATTCAGACTATTTCAAGCTGCTGAAATACACTAGTTACAAACCAGTTACTGAATATTTTAGGCATTTCTTGAGTGTGCTTTGTTTATTGTTTTATATGTATATACTTTTGTTTTTATTACTAACTCCAGAAAGCACAAAAAAAATCTATTTCAAATTTCAAATCCCTTAAGTCCATTTTAAGGATAACTGCAAATGTTCTGCTTAAATATTTATACAAGCTAACTAAAAAGAAAATACATGCACAATACCACACCTGCAATAACAGCAAAAGCCACTGCATTTGCAATAATAATAACTACATACTATAAAAGAGGAAAAGCAATAAAATAGCCTCTACAAAGATTGGAGGAGCAAAGCATAACGCATGCGGAAGCATCAAGTCGGACAACAATAATGAAAGCAACCAATAGTGGCAACCGCTCGCAACACCAGAGCAATTTGGCAGCTACTAAGCACCATCATCTCTTCTAAAACTGCCTGTTTCAATTCCCTGCTTCACCTTTTATTTCGCTTCATTTTTAGTCGCCTTTTTTATTGCCGGCGCTGTCCAGACAACCAAACTTCTTGTTGCTTGACTTGTAACGTATGCACCGCATATGTATATGTACATACATAGGTATGTACTAAGTTCTTGTGCCCTTGCCTTGCCGGATATAATCAGTGAATCACAAGAAAAAATTATTTCTGCGACTTAATTTTATTTTGCATACAATTTATTGACAGGATGTGTGTCTGTTGAGCAGCAAGATTTTACTAAGGAAGCTACTTACCGAGTGGACAAATCTTTACATATCTTACACTGAGCACTTACTCGTAAATCTGTTTTGACTAGTGTTGGGCTGAATCGATACTTAAAGTAGTAAGTACTCGATTCTGAAAAGAATCGACAGTACTCGATTCTAAAAAGGATCGATTCTTAGTACTAAGCAGTACTCAGCACTCAGTATCGATACTTGTACTCAGAATCGATACCACTACTTAATCGATACTTGTACTCAAAATCGACACTTGTACTCAGAATCGATACCACTACTTAGAATCGATACTTGTACTCAAAATCGACACTTGTACTCAAAATCGATACTTGTGCTCAGAATCGATACTTCGTTTTTTTTTTTTAATTACCCCATTTGAACCCTAAAATTTTCTGGAAAAACTTTTTACTACAAAATGTGGGCGCGTAGTCTTTGAAAAAAAAAAAAAAACTCAACGATGCTTCGAAAATAATATGTCGAAAGTTTACCCAAATTTATATAAAAATTTTATTGCAAAAGTGTCCGAAAATTGTTTCAAAATAATTCTCAACATTTTAAGGATTAGCATTTTTAGATTTTGATACTAAATTCATATCTTTGCAATTATGACTGAACATTTTTCGAAATTTATTTTTATTTTTTGTATTTATTAACAGCTACAAGTATAAATACATATACATATATAATAATTGTATACTTACTTACGTTTACTAAAGAAATAAGTAACACGTTTAGAGGAAATATTTTAAATTTTATTTAAACTTTATTTAAAATTACAAAATTAATTATTTAAAATTACTAAAAAACATAGATTTTTTTAGTAGAGACTATGTATATTTGTTGAAATTTTTCGCTCTCTTTATTTTCACCCTAAGTGCTATTAATTTAATACAATTTTAGTGGGTACCCCTCTTCCAATAAAGTAGGGTTGAAGTCCCGTCATTCTTTAGAGGATTGTTACCACGATATTAATAAGTGCACAACAAGTACTTTGGGTGCAATTATCGAAACTGGGCCCCTTTAAAAAATTGTATCCTCGGATTTCCGAGATATCAACGATTTATGATTAAGATCTGAGTACTCTTTTGGATCCTATTTTTACGATATTCTTTCGATTTTTTTTAAATTGCAAATTTAATATTTAGTTACTTGCTTTTTTGTATTCACTTTTTGTACACTAGTAGGAAAAATTATTTGATCAGCTTTTTAAATGACAGAATGTAATCTTCATGTCTTTTAAAAAATATATTAAATTATTGTGGGGAATGATCCACATAATATGCACTATTGCAAAAAATTAAGTCTTCTCGGTCATCAAACAAAAAAATATGTATTTGTATTAAAATATTTTCGAATATATTGAGTGTATTAGGATATTGACGCCTTCGTAACTATTTGATTAACTGGTTATATTATAATTATTCTTGAATGTATTTTATTGTTGGGAAACTAAATAAAAATGGAGTCACATGATCGGATAAGCCTGAATACCTTCAGTATGTTGTAGGCCAGGTTATCGTGTTATCTGGTTATGTAACTTAATTTTCATATTCAGTTTGCAATAGCAAAACACACACAACGGAACAGTAACACCGGGACACAAAAAAAAAAAACTGTTGTGTGCTTTTGACCAAGCCTGAATCCTAATCTAAGGCTCGTTTGACTCGTACGTAAAAATTTCAAGGCTATTGAAAAAATTAAGAATTTTTAGCCTTTTTTCCGCAATTCACCTTACAATTTTGAGAGTGTACAAGTCAAACGGACCTCAGATTCGGATTCGCTTGTTGTTTGCGTCACTATTTAGGATGAACACTTTTATCCTAGAAACAGAATTTTTGGTCCTTGCAATAGTGCAAAAAAAAATTATTTCACATTAAAAACCAATAATACTTACCATCTTTAGTAACTTAAATAAAAGACATGAAGTTTGTATTTTTTTAAGAAAGTAAACATTTATTTATCTTTATCTATCACAAGAAATAAACAAAATATTTAAAGGACTTATTAGCTAAATGTTAAATTTGCACTTTTTGAAAAATCTGGAAGTAAAACTATAAAGAAATATAATATTGTGAAATAAGCAATGTAAAAGAAAAATGGTACTACAGTCTTTTGTAAAAATCGTTGTTATCTTGGTCATCCGAGAATAAAAGTTTTTAGGTGGCCAAATAGTAAGGACCCCTAACAAAATTTGTCCACAATATGTCAAATTTAAAAACATACCAGTAAAACATTGTTAATCGAAGCGATCGACTTTCCTTCTCCCCCTTAAATTCCACACCCTCGATTGACTTCAAATTTTGTCTATAGGTTCCTTACATTAAAGCGGCCGTAAGTATTCGGGAAGCTGGCCTTTTCTGTTTCTTTTGTGGAAATCTGTCAAAGTTGGAATTATTATACTGCTTCAATGTGCTCTATAACCGATTCTAGTAATCATACATATCTCTATTTACCGCTGTTTTCAGGCTAAAGAAATGATCTAAATATTTTTATGCTCCAGCAGTTCAGGATTGTCGTAAAACTAGCTGAGCTATATGCATATCAACAATTACCATTTTTGACGTTGGTTTATGTCAGTTAAATCTATAGATTTAGATTTTTAGTCATTCCATTGTAATTCCTGTTTTATGCTGCAACTTAATTAAATGCTGGCATTTAATTTTGTTATTGTTATCATTGGTATGCCTAGTAGAAATTCTGTATAACAAAAGTTACTCTGGCATTTTCTCCTTTTCTCTTAACTAGCAAATTTTGAGTTTGCATTGTTTAGAAAACTAAATAGTAAAATATAAATCACCACAACGGTTTGCGATTTGTAAGTGCTATATAAAAAATTGTTTCATTAGCTCTTAAATCAGTTTTCACAGTGGTAAATGAACCCACATTCGCCATTGTGAAAATTGACTCCCAAATGTGAGTTACGTAACTCCTCTCCACTGTAAAAATGGGCATTTTCGAAATTCCTAAGACAAGCAATATAATTTTTGAGCGTTATGTAAGTGATCATATATTTGATCATATATAAAACCGTTATCTTGAAAACTACTTAGAACTGAACCCAGTAAAATCGTTACGATGCACAGTGTTTCAACTAAATGGAGGCAGGTGGAAAATAGTTAACGTGCACCGATTTCTCTGAAACTTGACATGTGCTCTAATTTTTCCTAGTAATAGACAATTATGAAATATTGCAAAGATGATATAATTGCCAAAAAAAATTCATCTGATTTCGATAAAATTTGGTTTGTGCTCTATATTTTATTAGGAAACTCTAAATTTAAAATATGGGGAAGATTGGTTTACTATAACGTCTACAAATCGCAAAAAATATGAGCCCAATCTTGAGATGTGATTGAATTTTGGTTGGTTTTTGTTTTCCGCTTTCCTCTCTCAGAAAAAAGGTTATACTTAAAAATAACATACAGTGGTCGAAATAATTTTAGCCGCACCACATTTTGACAAGTTTTATCAAATATTTTTTGTTTTTATTTAATTTTGGTTATTTGTTTATCAAAATATAGTTCATTCCTACACAAATGCAAGTTTCAAACTTTGTGCAATACTCTAAAAAAATCAATAAACTTTTGTAAAAATTTCTAGCTTTTTTAATTAGATTTCCCAGCAAATCTAAAAAATCAACCGTAATTTTTAGCCATTTCAAACTTGTACTCTGTTCTACTGGAATTCAA